TAAATGATTTTAGCAAATGGCTGCAATATAACAAAGAGTGAAAAATTTAAGGGGGTCTGAATACTTTCCGTACCCACTGTATATACACTAGTGATAGTAATGCCACATAAACATAAAACATTCAATTCCCCCTCCTCAAGTTGCTATGTCATCCATATTTTTGGCTTCTTTTTCTGATTCTGTGCAAACCAGTGTAAAATACGACTACAAACCCTTCCTCCGTGATGTGTGATGACATGTTGTCAAGAATCAACTCTTCATGTGAGTGTGCTTATTCTGCATGACCATATTTTAGATCCCTTAATCCACCCCATACCTAAACTTAACAACTACCTTACTAACTATTAATAAGCAGCAAATTAGGAGTTTATTGAGTGAAAACTCATAGTTAATAGTGAACATGCGTTTCCTATTAAAAAAAAAAAAAAAACTCAAAACCGAACAGCCTTACATTCACTGAATTACAGTATTTTGTAATACTGTATATTGTAATGAAAGTCTGATCATAATAATAATAATAATAATAATAATAATAATAATAATAATAATACATTGTAAATAAAAAAAAAACAGAAATAAGATTTTTATTTTTTACAAAAAGTAAAAAGTGGGGAGAACCAAAAGACTGTTTTATTTATTTCTCAAAATATTTCCCTTTTTTTGCAATATAATATTATGATCGTTATTATTATAAAATTTACAATATATTATATTACAATATATTATACTATTATACAATTTACAATATATTATTATTATTAAAGAGTAAAAAAAAAAAAACCTTCATGAGATTTTTTAAAGTAATAAACGGGGAAAACAAAAGTTTATTTTATTTATTTCTCTAATTGTTAATTTTTGTACACTTCTAACCAGTTCCTCCTAGATATCAGTAACAGAAAATGTTGTATTGGTTGACCACTAGTGCAGTTTTTGTGTGTGTTTGTACCTGAGGGCTTGTCCTGGTTGCAGTTCAGGAGAGTGGGATCTGCTTTGTGCTTCAACAGCTGGCTCACGATGTGGGTCTGTAGGGACACAAACACACGCACACACATCTTGAGAGGAACTCAAAGAGAATACTAAAAGATGTAGGTCACATCTTAAAGACGTCTGCATCCATCAGCTCTGAGTCTAATCTACAACATCGGCTGCCAGATCAACTCCGCTCCTGCCTCCAGCACCAAGCATATGCTAACACCTCACATTCACACAGCCTGCACACAGATGCACACATATTTATCTACATTTGTTTACTTGTTTTTTTAATTCTGTTAGTGTGCATCTGCTTGCTTTACACACACACACAGGCACTATATCACTGTGTTTCAGTCTGGAGTTGTGCAGCAGAAGTGTGTGTGACTGTGTGTGCATACTATGTATGACGTGAAAGCATGTTTTGATGTATTATGTATGTGTGTGTGTGTCCAAAATTAACTCAAAACAGCTTTAGGGAGTAAATACAACAGAATAACTTGCCAGATGGCTGACTTCATTAGAAATGGCAATATTACAAGGTTAAAGATGAAGTGTGTAATTTAATGTTAAATATGTATCTCTGCTTACAGACATAACTATAACTTTTGAGTAGTTTATAAGTTTCAGAAATTTTAGCAAAGACTACTGGGTTCTTTAATTATAGCTAGGATTTTTATTTATTCATTTATGTATGTATGTATGTATGTATGTATGTATGTGTTTGTTTGGGATATGTTGATTCATCCATTCAATCAATTTTACAGGTTTAATTTGTATAATTATTTAATTATTTAACTATTAAGGGTTTAATTTGTATTAATTCGCTCATTAATTCTATCTATCTATCTATCTATCTATCTGTCTATCTATCTGTCTGTCTGTCTGTCTGTCTGTCTGTCTGTCTGTCTGTCTGTCTGTCTGTCTGTCTGTCTGTCTGTCTATCCACCCATGAAAAAATATAAAAATATAAAAGTGAAATTTCAAGAAGCAAACCTGGGTTGCTTTTAATCTATCTATCTATCCATCCATCCATCCATCTATCGATCCATCCATCCACCCATCTATCCATCCATATCTAACTATCTATCTATCCATCCATCTATCCATATCTAACTATCTATGCATCCATATACGTATCTATCTATCTATCTATCTATCCACCCATGAAAAAGGAATAAAATATAAAAGTGAAATTTCAAGAAGCAAACCTGGGTTGCTTTTAACCTATCTATCCATCCATATCGAACTATCTATCCATCCATCTATCCATATCTAACTATCTATGCATCCATATACGTATCTATCCATCTATCTATCCATCCATCTATCGATCCATCCATCCACCCATGAACAAGGAATAAAATATAAAAGTGAAATTTCAAGAAACAAACCTGGGTTGCTTTTAAGTTCATCTTTTGTGAAGCTCTTCATGGCTAAAGTTCATATCAGAGAGAGAAAAAAACAACAACAACTGCAGTCTGAAAACTCCTGACATGCATGAAAGTGTGAGTGAAACTGTGCTGCATGAGAGGCAGAAAAGCCTGAAGATCAGGACAAACAGTCAATCACACATGCTTTGCCAGCTTTTATTTAGTCTGTTTCTCATAATATAATCAAAGGTGTTACTTCAACAGTGTGTAATTGTCTCGCAGGGGCAAAAAAAATCCGCTTTTGTTTAAAAACAGGTCGCCCACCATAGCGGCTGGTACATATCACAAATTTACTAACCACTGCCAAATAAATGTGCATTTGATAGGTGGTGGGTGTAATACTGTATTCCCACCCTGTTTACAGTGCTCTCCGGTGTTTACTGCATGTACTGTACAATGTTTCCAGCTGTTCAGATGGTGTACGCCGATGCTCAATCTGAAGTGAAACTCTGTGACTGCAGCATGGCAGTTCTGCTGAGTCACACAACCATCTGCAGTGCTAATGACTGACTCAATGTGTCTGTCTGTCTGTGTCTGTGTTTGAGAAAGATTCTGCCCTGCCGCAATGAATTATAGATGTGGGCAGAGAAAACATCTCTCTAAGTGTGATAATATGATAATATCATTGTACAGTTTGAAGTACCTTGAGAATATGGAATGATATACTGAAGACAGGAACCATTCAGTACCATGATATTGCATTTTTGATTACTATAATGTCATATCTACCACAGCCACAGGAGTTTTTGTAACTGCCAGCAATATAGTAGAAGAGTATTGTCTTGCACTCTCTCTCTTGATTCTCTAGAGGTCCTGTAGAGGAAAAGGTGGTTTTACCAAACTAAACTAAATTTTCAGTCCCCTAACAGTAACTGATCACAATAATAAATACTGTAATCTGCCACCAAAATAACACGTCACAGATTTTGCTTTCAATACAGTTCAAAAGTTTAGGGTGACTATGTTTTTTTTTAGTCTCTTGTGCTCAACAAAGCCATGTTAATTTAATCAAAAATACTGTAAAAACTGTAAAGTTAGACACACATTTTATTTTATTCCTTCTTTTATTACTTCTCATTGCATTTCCCAAAGAAACTTTGCATTCACATCATGTGAATGGAAAAAAATATATATTTTTTCTGCTTTTGTGAGTGAATGCACTTGGTGGAACGCAGTACTTATGTGAGAGAACACAAAATAATTACAATATAGTTTTGTTTTTTTTTCCTTCCGCCTCATATTTTTATATAGCACCATGTCCTATTAGGGCTCTGAAGTTTTGGCCCCAGCACCAACACCATGTTAGTAGAAAATGGATAATGAAAAGAAAAACTAAACCATACACTGGGCTGCAAATGCAACAACTAAAAACCTGAACCTCAGAAAAGAAAGAGGGGAGGAAAAAAGAAAAAAGGAAAGGTGTGTATGTAGGCAAGAGTATCCTGAGGGACAAAAAGAACAAAGGAGAAGAAAGAAGGAATATTCTCTTCATCAGCAACCATGTCAGCAGGTTCATCCTTTCCTCTAGAAATCAATCTCCTCTAGTGCAAGTGCTGTTATTCAACTCATATAAAACACATTAGAACTTCATATGATCCTCAAAGCTAGAGTCAATCTGGCTGAGAATTGGTAAGATCAATGCAATGATGAAGCGCCATTAATCAGAAACAGGAAGGGAGCATGAATTAATGAACTGGATTTGGTCTACGATAACTCTAATATCAATACATTCCACTGACCGTGAACAGCAATCTGATAAAATGGCTAAACTCAAAGACAAATGAAATGTAGCATATTACACTCATGCAAATTCAAATTAGCCCTAACATTTGTTTTGTCCAGGTCAGCAGTCTTTTTGATGGCAAGTGCTACAGAAGTAAACAAAACAAACAAATAAATAAATAAATGATTTTTATTGTATACATTTGTTTATTTGTATAGCACTTCAAAATAATATGATATGAATTTATTTATTCTATTAAAATAAAACTTTTATTTTAACACTATGGATTAAC